GATCTCTCGATCTCGTGACCCACCTGCCTCGGCCTCCCAAAGTGCTGGGATTACAGGCTTGAGCCACCGCGCCCGGCACAACCTTTTATGAAAGCCTTCTTTCTTTGGACTTCAGAGCCTCTAAGCCAAGAGAGCCTAAATTTGCAGGGAGAAAATTGATAGCTAATTTGTAAAATTTTCTTGTAGACATAGGGTCTTGCTATGTTGCCCATGCTGCTCTTGAACTCCTAGCCTCAAGCAATCTTCCTGCCTTGGCCTCTCAAAGCTCTGGGATTACAGGTATGGGCCACTTCACTCAGCTTATAACTAGCTAACTGTTTTTTTCTTTTTTTTGAGACAGGCTCACTTTGTTGCCTGGGTTACAGTGCAGTGCAATGATAGCTCATTACAGCCTCAACCTCCTGGGCTCAAGCAGCCCTCCTGCCTTAGCTCTGCAAGTAGTGAGGAATACAGGCAAGCACCAGCCTGTTTAGTTAATTTTTTTTTTTTTTTTTTTTTTTGAGACAGAGTCTTACTCTGTGTCCCAGGCTGGAGTGCAGTGGCACGATCTTGGCTCACTGAACCTCTGCTGCCCAGGTTCAAGTGATTCTCCTGCCTCAGCTTCCCAAGTAGCTGGGATTACAGGTACCTGCCACTGTGCTGTTTAGCTAAGTTTTAAAATTTTTGTAGAGATGGGGTTTTGCCATTTTGTCCAGGCTGGTCTTGAACTCCTGGGCTCAAGCAATCCTCCTGCCTCGGTCTCTCAAAGTGCTGGGATTACATGCATAAGAATTAGCTAACTTTTAAAAAGTGCCTCACAAGGTGACATTTACCTTGATGGATTTTCCCCATGGTCCTGTGTCAAGCCCTCAATAAGCTTTAAAACAGGTTCAGAAACTTCACCATGCTCAAGTCCCAGAACTGAAAGCTGACTCATACTAAAAATATTCACATGATGTACAAGATACAGAAAACGAGAGGGCAGGTTATGTAATTTACAATGATAAAAATGTCATTGGGGGACCACTGCCTTTTATAGGTCCAATCACAGCTTCTCTCCTTAGTGAGAATGATCAGAAGGTTGTTGGGTGGGTACAGAGTCAGAGTGAGGGGCTTGGGCCATAGAATTTACATGAATAGTATAGCACTGGGTTCAGCTCTGACTGGTTTGACTTCTCAGAGAGCCAGGCTTCTTGATTAAACGGCATTGGATACCTTCTTCCTTTCACAGACACTTACTATTTCTTCCTTTTTTTTTTTTTGGTCTCCTTTCAATACTTTTATTTTTCACCTTCTTATTCTGACCTATTTCTTTTTGGATTAAGTGTTTTGCTCTATTCACCAGATTCTAATTTTTTATTGTTGTTAAGGTTAGGATTAGAGTCTGATAGAAATGATCCATGACTAATCTGTGTAGAAAGATGTCATATATTTCTAAGACCATGTGCCAGGTGCGGTGGCTCACACCTGTAATCCCAGCACTTTGGGAGGCTGAGGCGGGCGGATCATCTGAGGTCAGGAGTTTGAGACCAGCCTGACCAACATGGTGAAATCTCATCTCTACTAAAAACACAAAATTAGCCAGGCATGGTAGTGCCCACCTGTAATCCCAGCTACTCGGGAGGCAGAGGCAGGAGAATCACTTGAATCTGAGAGGTGGAAGTTGCAGTGAGCCAAGATGGTGCCATTGCTCTCTAGCCTGGGGGACAAGGGCGAAACTCTGTCTCAAAACAAAAAAACATGCAAATGATTTCAGGGGATTGTGGACATCCTTGATGTCCCAGGTTAAATTCCTATGCATCCTCAGTCAAAATTCCTGCCTTAAGCAGACCTGGCCCATTTTTGAGCTGACAAAGCTGAAGCCTAACAACATCATCTTATTTTCCTCATGGCCAAGTTCTTAGGATCACCTTCCATCCTCACCTCTCTTCTCATTCCTCTACCTTCTGATCTTCTGTTAGGGCCACCTCTGTGACGCTGGAACTGCTCAGACCTTGTGGTTACTTCCTCAGCCACGGGTACTGGGTTGAGGTCTAACGGTGATTGCAGTCAATCCTGTTTTCTCACCTTTTTCCCTTTGACTTGTATTTTGCACTTTCTCTAGTATTCCAATCAACATCCTCTTTTTTCCCCTCATTCTTTTTTTCTGGCAGGCTGTGCCCATGTCCCCTTGAATTGGGTGTGACTGACATATTGCTTTCACCCCTGGTCTTTGTCCTTCCTTTTCATAACCATATTCATAGCCCCATCTCCCTGTTTTTCTTTCCTATCAATGTTTCCAGAGCTTAAATCCATGAACATCATTTTCTCAGCTTCTTTATATGCCTGTCTCCACTACTGCTAAGTATTGTCTCTCTCTTTTTTTATTTCTGAGACAGAGTCTTGCTCTGTTGCCCAGGCTGGAGTGCAGTGGTGCGATCTCAGCTCACTGCAACCTCTGCCCCCGGGGTTCAGGTGATTCTCCTGCCTCAGCTTCCCGAGCAGCTGGGATTACAGGTGTGTACCACACTGGCTAATTTTTGTATTTTTTGTAGGGACAGGATTTCACCATGTTGGCTAGGCTAGTCTTGAACTCTGGACCTCATGATCTACCAGCCTTGGCCTCCCAAAGTGTTGGGATTACAGACGTGAGCCACTGTGCCCAACCTAGCATTGTCTTTCTTTAAAATATATTTTTAAACATGATTTTCAACCCATATTTGTATTTCCCATTCAGACCACTCCTCTGAGCTCCACACTTGCATATTCAACCTAATTACTATTTGCACTTTGATGTCACAACAACGATGGGTCAAAAATAAAGCCAACAATTCTCTGCCTCCAGCTTTGTCCTTCTCAGAAAATTGCACCCCAGTTCACATAGTAACTCAAGCCAGAGGAATCATCATGCATTGTTCCTTTTTCTTTACCCGCAACAACATGAGTAAGCGTGCTGCTCTACTTCCAAGATACATCTTGAGTTTAAAGCAGTGCCTTCATCCCCAGAGCCATGATCCTTAGGTCAGACCGGCATCATTTCTCACCTGAACCACATCCAGCATCCTCTTAACTACTCTCCCTGATTCTACACTGGTCTCCCTCTAATCTGTTCTTCCCACAGCAGCTACAGCTTGCTTTTAAAAACAGAAATTACATTAAATCACTCTCTACTTAACTCTCTTTAATAGCTTCCTATTCATTCACAAAACACGTTTACTGCACACCCTCTCTGTACCAGGCCCCCCAAAATCCCTGCCCTCATGAAATAAATGAGGGATGGGGTAAGGGTTATGAAGGAAAGAAGGGATGAGGAATGGGGAATTTGTCTGTGTGTTTGGTTACAGTTTATAATACAGAATGCAGGCCTCTGTAATCCCAGCCTTCAGCAGGCTGAGGCAGGCGGATCTGGATCACCTGACACAGGGATATGAGACAAGCCCGACCAACATGGTGAAGTTCTGTCTCTACTAAAATTACAAAAAAATTTACCTGGGTATGTTGGCATGTTCCTGTAGTGCGACTACTCAGGCAGCTGAGGAGGAGAATCACTTGTACCCTGGAGGCGGAGGTTGCAGTGAGCTGAGAGTGCACCACTGCACTCCAGCATGGGCGACAGAGTGAGACTCCGTCTCAAAACATAAAAAATAAAATAAAATAGTGAGTCCAAGGAAGACTTAACCGAGTCTGAGTAGGTGACCTTTGAGCAAAGGACTTGAAAGAGGTGAGAGAGTGAGTTTTGCAGAATATTCCATGTGGAGGAGGCCCTGAGGTAGAGTCACGGCTGGCTTTGGGACTGAGCAGAGTAGAATAAAACCCAAGCTTCACTATTTACTACGATAAATATTCAGTATTTACTAAGGGCAGCCCAGGCCCCTATTCCCTCCAAAAAACAAAGACAAGAAACGATCCTCTTTAGCTGCAGTCTTCTTTCCTGTCACTCCCTCCCTCAATACATTCCTTCCACACTGGTCTTCTAGTTTACCAGGATTTGGTTCTTGCTTTTCCTTGGGTTGTGCATTAGCTAGGAATACTCCTCCAACCCTTATGCCCGTATATAATTTGCAAGGCTGGTTCCTTCTCATCCAGTAGGTTTCAGTTTGAATTTCACTTTAGGACTTTTCTGACCACAGGAACTAAAACAGGGCTCTTCTTCTTTCTTTCCTATGTCAGTTTCCTATTTGTTTCTGGGATTCATATATATGTGCATTTGACTTAAATCTCATTAGGTATAGTAAATGGTTAAATTTGCATTTGGTCACTGGTGAAGATTAAGCATTTCCCCAAATAATTGTTAGTTTTCTTAGCCTGATTTCTTTTCTATATTTTGGCCAAACAAACGCTCATTTAAAGTCACGTTGTTTTCTGGCTGGCCAGCCAAAACCCCACCCTGTCCATTTATTTGGGGGGAATTTATTTTCCCAAATTCCAGGCAGAGATAGTGACTCACAAGAAATTACTCCAAAACCCAACCCATTCAGAGAAAAGTGCTTCATTTCGATAATATCAAGTTGTGAAAAGGGGCAAGAAACCTGCATTTGAGTGTGGTACCAAATTATGCAGTTATTGAGCAATTATGAATGGCCAACCCAATTATACGTTACAGTGAAATGACGGTCACTGGGAAGCTCAAAGCCCCGAAGCAAGGGAAGCTCTGCTTCTCACCGGCCCCTCTGCCTTTTCCAGGGCGCTCTCCGTCCAGATGCAGGAGATGACCTGGCTGACCTTTCGAGCCTGCCCAGAGCCAAGGCGGCAGAACCGCTGCCAGGCTTGCGAAGCAGGGGATCGAGGGTCCTCCAAGTTCTGGACCTTCCCACCCAGCCCCTCTCCCGGGTATCGACGAGATGATGGCTCCTCTCGCGAGAGCGCGAGCAGACCCCCCGGCTCGGGGCGGTGGCGGGATGTTCGCCGAGCACTTTAGACCGCGCCCCCTCTGGCGCAGCTGGGAGAGGCGCGGCGGAGGCGCTGCCGGGAGAGGCCGGCGGCGCGCACGCGCAGGTGAGCGGGGCGGGCTCGGGGGCGCGGGGGCACGAGGGCGAGGGGCGGGGCCTGCGTCGCGCCGCGGGCACGTCGCCGCGCGTCCTCAGTATTTAATGTCTCTGTGTTCCACCGGCCTGGGCGAGCACGTGGGGGAGCTGCGGAAGCCTGGCGCTGCGGGCCGGGCCGCGGGGTACAGCCGGGGGCCGGCGGCGGCGCGCGGACTCCGGACCCCGCACCCCGACAGTCGCCGAGAGCTGGTAGGTGGTGTGCGGCTTTGCAGGGGACCCCCTGTCGGAGCCCCGAAGGCGGCGCGGTCTGGGCGATGGGAAGCTTGGGGTGCAGGTGCAGGGTGCGACGCGCGTTCTAGGTACACCAGGGGCGGGACGCTCCGGACGCCGAGGTGTCCTGGGGGCTCCCGGCCGCCGCGAGCTGTCAGGCAGGCCCGTCTTTCCCTCCCTCGCCTGCGCCCCGTCTCCCCATCCCCCGCCGCTGTCTGCCCGCGGGCTCCTGTCAGATCGCGTGTGCGCCGCTCTGGGCGGCGCTCTGCGGCCGCGCCGTCCACCCCACGCGCGTCACTGCCTTCTGGGGCGGGGGGCGAGGGCGCGACGCCCGGGGCGCCTTTCTGCGGCTCAACTTTACCGGAGCGCGCACACCCGCCTGCGAGGCGGACCCGAGCGCGTCCCACCCAAGGTCGCCCAGCCCCGCGGGCGTTTACTTTTCAAAGGTCGTGTGGACACAGTCTGAGCCCGCTGCTGCCCCTTCACTTCTGGAGCCTCACCCAACTTCTCACCCTCGGGTCGCGCCGGGCTGCGCCCCGCCCAGGCCGACGACAGAGGCGACCGGAGCCGGCGGCGCAGCCCCTGAGAGTTCCGTGCGGGGAGACACGGGAACCGGGAATATGGGCCGGGACACCGCTGGTTGTGATCCAGCCGTGTTCCGGGCGAAGGAACCGTTCGAACCGAGTTGGGGTCTGGAGGTCGGAGGCCCAGGGGTGCCTCGGGGGAATTCGCATTCGTAGCCCCCACAGGCGTGTCCGGAGGGGCGGAGGCCGTCCAGCCCCGGGTGTCCACCGACCTCACGCCGGGGGGCGGCAAGTGTCACGTGTTCGGCCCCGCCTGCGGCCCAGTGTCCCGGTCCATGATCTGGAGGGACTATGTTCGTTTCGGGGTTACCGTGGGCTGGCAGAGTCAGTGGCTGGACGCCTCGAACGCGGGATTTCTGGCGTTCAACTCTTTTGTGCCCTTGCTGAAGGTTCTTCCCGTTTCCCTCCTGGGAGGCATGGAAGAAGGAAGGTGCTGATCGTGGTGGGCGGTGCTGAGGCGACTTGGAACGGCATGGGAGCCCTGGGCGTTTTGGGATCTTCCCTCTCCTGGAGGATGTCCAGGGTGGCTGCGCCTTCCTGCCGTTAACACAAACCCGGTGGACTTCGCTCCAGGTGCGAGTCGAGGCCTCTCAAGCTGGGTAGGGTGTATGCGCAGGGCAATTAGTGAGGTTAAACTGGTATCTTTCCCCTACTGTAGTGCGGGTTACTTAATGTTTAAATTTGTCTCCAGTGAAATCTAGGCTCCTGGACCTGGTGCAACAGTATCTGTTAGTTACTGATCAAGGAACACCGTTCACAAAAAGCTATTAATTCTGGCAGCTAGTAACCTTACATGCTCATGTAACTGCTAAGTCCTTCCCAAATTAGTACCTTTTTTTTTTTTTTTTTTAACTCTTTATTTAGAAAGCAAAGCTTGGACTCTTAGCACCACCCATCCACTTGGCTCTTAAAGGTACAGAACATCTTTGAAATGAAGAGGGCAGCCTGACTTGATCGTTTATATGATTCCTCTGTTCTTGGCATTAAAGTGCTTCACCTGATGATTATTTAAGACCCTGAGCACTGGAAGCACGTGAAGTAATGTTTTGGGAGCCTTTTGACGGGAGCTTTTTGACGTGTTGAACCTTTCCTCTTCAACCTCTAACTAGTTTGTAGGTTCTACACAATTCCTGGGTGTATTCTCTTTGAAATATGGCCTTAGGTTAGAGGAGGATCCTACAGGTATGCAAATCACTAAAGCCGGAGTCCATTACTGGATTAATAGGCTCTGTCTTTGGGCCTGTTTTTAGATGCTGGCCCAGAAATTGCAGGTAACAGATCCTAGCCAGTGAGTGAGACAGGCCTGATGGATCTGCGTCTAGGTGGAGTTCCTTGTAGGAGTATCTCGCCCGTCTCCCAGCTGTTTCTAGGAAATGCATTCTCACTTGGCCACTGCAGGTGACAGTGGAGGTGTCTGTTGTAATAGAGGAATCATATAAATATCAAGTCACTGCTCAGGTGATGAAGTCGATATGTCTCCAGTGTAAAGTTGCTGAACATCAATATTTAAAAACAATTTATCTTGCTACCTGGTAATCCAAATTATTCTTGGGCTTTGGACATAGGCTGGGTTGCAGCCATATTTTGGGGGACGGCTGGTGTTAGCTTCTATAGTGTTCCCTTTTCCTGTCCTAAAGACAAATGGAGATCGTATTTGTGATAATGGGGACTGCAATAGGTGCTTAAGCATTGCTCTTCCCCTCTCCTTCCTAAACAAGCCCTGAGTCTGACTTTGTTTTTCTTGAATTACTTGAGTGACTTGAATTCTATTAAAAGCATCCCTCTCCCCAGTCTCTGACCCAGAAACTTGTTTGGGGGGCAAAACAAATTGGTTTCCCTAAGCTTTACCGGCTAGCCTCCTGGTCCTAGCCTGCAACATGACTTGATTGTGTGTGCATTTCAGAGCTTTGAAGAGCAGGCAGCTTGTCCTGGAGAGCTGGCCCTGGAGAGCTGGCCCTGGAGTTCCCCCAGGTCACTCCTTCCTCATCTTACCTGTGAGTCTACAATGCTTGGGCCTCTCTGTAGCTTGGTCTGTTTTCCTTTTGTGGGGAAGTCGGTCATTTCGGGTAGGAGTTAATACCTTCAGCTTGTCATTCTCAGGCGTTTTCCTCCACTATGGGGTGGTAGTGGATGCTGTGGGTGTCGTGTCCCATTGAAATAATCTCATACTGTTTGAGAGTTGCTCATCTTTATGGTGAGGGGTGTATTTTAGTCCTAAATCTTGCTTCTTAGGTCAAGTTCTGTTTCTTCCATGTTCCTTCCTGGTGTGATACCTCAGGAGTTTTCGGTTTTATGATCATTTCACGTTAATGATTCTATGAGGCATCCTACTGAAGGAAGCTGCTGGCCTTGGTACCTAATTTTAAGCTTGGGCTGTGAAAAACATCAATGAGCGTGTTTGGAGTAGGACAGAGTCTGGCTGGAGAAACAGGTAGTGGGGGACATGGAACTAAAGTTCAGAGGATGCCTCTTTCTCGATAGTTAACTGTGCTAGGTGAGTTCTGAGCAAAGGCTTCCCTAATCCTTTAATCCTCACACTTCTGAGTGCAGTGAGGGTAAAGCTGGAGGTCATTCCAGATTGTTTCAGTGGCTGTCACACAATTCAAATTGAGGGGTAAAGGAACTAGGAAGTATGGGTGTGGACTGAAAACTAGGTCCTCTGGATGGCTTTTGTGAGAAGAACCAAGGAATATCCTTAAATCCATGGGCTTTTCCTCCTAATCTTTCTGCTGCTTTCCAAGTAAATTGTTAACATTGTGTGTGTCATCATTCAGCATTCTGAGAACTGGCTTTCCAGCAATAAATAGCTTTCAAGGTGTCCTTTGCCTTAACTTTTTCTTTTACTAAATGGTGCAGCCCTGTCCACATTCTATCCGGGTCTTCGCCATCTGGTTGGCTGTTTTCATCTTGGGTTGATAGTTTGCAAGAGTCAGTGGTAAACGTTCTGTTCGCTCTCCTGTAATGCTTGCTGGCTGCCTGTGTTCACTGAGCCATGTGTCACTAAGGTCCAGTTGCACTTGGGAGCAAAGAAGGGCCCCGAGGTGAGTTCTGGAAGTAAAAGTATGTATAACTCAGGACTGATGATGAGGCTTTTCACTGCTGGGCTTAGCTGACAAGAGCCTGGGACTTGGCACAGCTCTCAGAGCTGAAGCCTGCCTGTGATTCTAGGCAGGCTAGTTGGCCTTCCAGGTCTTGGTTTATTCAGTGGCTAAAAGAGGGTTGGTCAAAATTATCAGTATTCAGATTGTTGTCCAGGGAGCCTTGGAGTTAGACCAAACGTGCCCCGGGCGACTGAAGTGAGGTGTTTGGGCTGGGAAGCACAGCTCAGTGGGTAGTACATCTAACTGAAGAAAAAAAAAATCACTATTCATCTCAAGTTCTTAGCTCTCAGGTGCTACTGTTCTAAATATTTTTTATTTTTAAAGACAGTTCTATTTGCCTAAATCTGTCATGGGTAGGGGGAGTTTAGAGCTGTCTTTTGTCTATAGAGCTGCCTTATCTACTAGCTGTGTGACTAAACTTTTGAAAGCATTAAAAAAAAAAAAAGTTTCTCAGTGACATTAGCACATTTTAAGGTTCTCAGTGTCGTCATGTAGCTAGTGGCCGCCATCCTGGTCAGTGCAGGTCAAGAACATTTTCCAGAATTGAGGAAAGTTTTGATTGGACAGCGCTGGCCTAGAAAGCTTTTTTTCTCCAACTGTAAAACTTAATTGCCTAAACTTGTAAATCTCGAAAGCATAAAATGTTTGAGCTTAGTCTTCCAGAGTCCATAAACCCAACAGCTTGGTGACAGATGATCTGCTGATTGTCTCCATGGCATACTACAAGTGAGTTCTGCTCTACCAGTTGGGTGTGGACTTATCAGTCTGAGAGAGGATCCTCAGAAAGGACCCGGGGATAGGAGTGTGGAGCAAAGGGCCGGATGCTAAGCCCTTAGAAAGCCCTTTTGGTTTGAGAGCCTGTTTATTATTGTAAAGATCCTTGCTGGTTTGTCCATGGTCTCCAAATGTCAGATGTCAAATGTTGTTACTTGGTCCTTTACCCCCATGATGACTTTCTACAGATCTCAGTGTGGCCCTTCTCTTAAACCAGGTTGTGTTTTCGTTCTGCCCTTTCCAGTCTACCTAAGTGTTAGGGGACATTCTTCACAGAAGGCGTTGGGGGAGAGTGAGGCCACAGTTCGGCGCTGTTGTGTTCTGTTGCAGCAGGGGTGGCGGGCTCTTCATTTCCAGATGCCCCTCTTCTAGTCCTGGGTGTGCTTTGTTTGAACCCTGCTGTAATGTGAGATCTCTTTTCTTGGAGCTGGAGAGCATAAAAGACACTATTGATGAGCACCTACTGGCATATTAGTGGCTTTTTTTTTTTTCTGTGTCATTTTTATTCTCAGCCCTATGAGGTTAGTACGGTGATCTAGTTTGTGGATGAAGAAACAGGACCCAAGCAGGGGAAGTTGGTCCCAGGACGCAGCGAGGGCTGGACTGGCTTTGGACCTGAGTCAGGGGCTGCTCCTCCCTCCTCTTCTGTCCCTTCCTGCCCCCCTTGCTCATTGGCTGTGGCTTACTTCCTGCTCCTTTATCATTCCATCCTCATTCAGGAAACTAAACTGGGTTTTAAAAAGATTAAAACCATTTTTCCCACCTAGGAGTCTGACTATTAAGTGTTTTCAGTCATTTAGCCACGGTACAACTCTGTGAGGGAGGTATTCTTATTCCATATCACAGGACATCTTCATTGTATGGAAAACTGAAGTACAGGATCCTACTCTTTAACTCTCTTGTCTCTCCAAAGCCATATTTTATCATCAGAATTATGCAACCATCAGGTGCTTTTGAAATGCACAAGTACTGACTATGAATAAAAAAAGCTCTGCCTGAGGGCTCAGGGAAACTGCTCTGAAAACTGAGCTGGTTGAAAATGACAGCCCTGAAGTCTAATTTCCAGATACCTGTCAGACCTCACTTGGAGGTCACAGGACCATCCCCTGGCCCTTCAAAGGCTGTCACCTGGCAGTAACTGGCCTCCTGGTTAGAGAAGGCAGTAAGATCAGTTCAATCACAGTCCAGCCCCCAGCCCTTCTGGCCCTGCGTGAGTGTGCCTTTGCGAGGTTGGGTTGGCGACAGATCTCAAGGGGACAGTTCTGTCTTCTGTACATCTCCTTATTGCATCACCCCCCCTTCTGTCCCTCCCAAGAAAAAGGAGCAGGAGTGATTCTCACTTTCCTGAACTGCCTTGCAGGCAGACTCACACTCAGCTGTGCCTTGAGCTGTCTCTGGGAGAAAAGACCATGCTGCAAATAACCTCCCTGCTTTGTCCTTTGACTTTGGTGTGGCTCACCTGGCCAAGCATGTGCTGGTGCTATTTTTGGCAGGTGGCATCCTTTAGGAGCGCCAAGTGCATGTGGCTGCAGTGTACGGGACAGGTTCTGGTGCCAAAGCTGCTGCTGCTGTCTCTGTTGCCACTGCCTTGTCAGGAGAGAGGAGAATAAAGCCACCCTAGAAGCTGCCAAGGGGTGTGTGGAGGGGGTGGTTGCTTAAGAGGTCTCCAGGGCTGCCTTTTCTATTCTGGAACTGTGGCAGGGGCCCAGCATGCCTCCTGGTGCAGGCAGGCATGTGACTGAGGCAGCCCAGGGAGCCTAGGGGTCAGGACTGCTGCCCGGAGAGTGAGGACCCCTTGTTGCCCCAGCAGCCAGTTTCTCAGGAAACCACATAACCTCATTAAAAAAAAATTTATTTAATTTTTTAGAGGTGAGGTCTTACTTTGTCACCCAGACTAGAGTACAGTGACACAATCATCATGCTCATTGGCTGTTGCCTCAGCCTCCTCAGTAGCTGGGACTATAAGCGTCCATCATCATACCTGTCTAATTAAAAAAAATTTTTTTTGTAGAGATGGGGTCTCACCAGCTTGCCCAGATCAATCTGAAGACTCCTGGGCTCAAGCCATCATTCCATGTTGGCCTCCCAAAGTGCCGAGATTATAGGTGTGAGCCGCTGTGCCTGGCCCGTAACTCCATTTTCATGTGAAGTTGCCCAGCCTCAAGGCTGGCCACTACATGGACACTAAAACTCTCTAATAATGTGGATTGGTGGGCAGTCTGGTTCCTGGTGTCCTCTGGCTTAACCCAAATTGCAAACATGAAAGGAGGCATGCTGCAGAGCCCTGGTCAGAATTCTTTGCTGGTATGCCGTAGAAGCTGAAGAGGGATGAACAAGCAGTTTGACGAGCAAGCTTGCTGATTCCCCAGGCCACCCTTTCTCTCTCCTTTTCAGTTCCTCCTTCCCTCTAACTTGGAGCTGCTACTCCAGCCCATCTATCTGTTTCTGATTAAGAAAACTTCAAGCCATATAAGGCCCTCTGTTGCCTATGGTTTATGTTGGCTGGAGAGCAAGATTGTTTTGGCAATGTCTGATTCAAAGAAGTGGCAAGGGTTTACGTAGGCTGTGTGTGTCTGCCTCCTGGGGCTGGACTGCGTTATTGGAACAGGTTCCTCTGAGGGAGCCTGGGAGTAAGGGGGGCTTACTACCCCTTACCCTTAGTGGTGGTTCTCTAAGGCTAATGTGTGGTGTGGCCGCAGGCCTCCTGGCAAGTGTATTCACTGAGAACTTGAAGGTAAAAGCAAACCGCTGTTCACCTACACAATGTACCTGTCATGCTACCAGCCCTAGAGGCATCCTGTTTCAGGAATCAAGTCTGGAAGCAGCTTCTCCTTGTTAATTAAAAAACTAAAGCCCCTTGGCTCTTCAGGCACAGGAGTTTCCCCTCTGGAGAAGGTTTGGTGGACTGCATCCCGTGGGGTTCTTGCGAGTCCGACTGGCCTTCTGCGCAGTAATGTTGGAGAGTCCTTTCTCTGAGAGCCATGCTCCGACCTCATCTTCACCTCCCCTCTTGCTACCTCTTGAGTCAGCCAAGTTTGTTCCTGCCTTAGGACTTTGGCACTTGTTCTTCCTGCCTGGAACTTTCTTCCCCCTCTCCTCCTGCCTCCCCCCAGATCTTG